TCAAATAAATAAATTTAAAAAAAAAAAGAGCCACATATGAACAGAATAATGAAAATTTGTCAAACGTCACCAGCAAAGTCAATACATTACTCCTCCAGGGGAATCAGAAATGAGTCGAAGTAGGGATATGATTAACCGGGAAGGCTCAGTATCTTAATGAGGTACATTCTTTCTGAATAAATGTCAGTCAAAATCCCAGCACTGTCCAAATTAAGCATGCTTTCCCACAACTGTTTATGAAGTAATCCTTTACTTCTTCATTGACTCCAAGAGCCCTTTGTAAATATGACTTTTTATTTTTTTTAATTTTTAAATTTTTTAAATAAACATATATTATTAGCCCCAGGGAATATGACTTTTTAAAAAAGATTTTATTTATTTATTTGACAGAGATATCGAGAGAACACAAGCAGGGGGAGTGAGAGAGAGAGAAGCAGGCTTCCTGTGGAGCAGGGAGCCCGAGGTAGGGCTCAATCTCAGGACTCTGGGATCATGACCTGAGCTGAAAGCAGCTGCTTAACCGACTGAGCCACCCAGATACCCCTAAATATGACTTTTTAATGTAAGAAAAAGCCTATCTGTAAGGAACATCTCTTGGCTCCCTACCATTTCCTTGATCAACTTGTCTAGTCTTTGCTGTGTATTGTTTTAAACTGATGATCGACTAACAGAACTTCTCTCCCCACTACTTTCCTTTTCCAGAAAAACACATATTTTTCATATCTTTGCTTCTTTACATTCCTAAATGCTTTTGAGTTATTTTAATTTTTTTTTAAGTATGACATGTACTGCAGTAGACTAAAGCCTGATACATTACTTGGAAAAGACTGGTCCTCTTCAAGAACATCACATGTCTCTAACTGATTCAAGTCTTTTCTAAAATTCACCAAGACATGCCCTGTCTATTTCCTATTAAGATTACTCTTAGGGCACCTGGGTGGCTCAGTTGGTTAAGCCACTGCCTTCAGCTCAGGTCATGATCCCAGAGTTCTGGAATCGAGCCCCACATCAGGCTCCAGCTCTACGGGGAGTCTGCTTCTCCCTCTGACCTTCTCCTCTCTCATGCTCTCTCTCTCTCTCTTGAGTAAATAAATAAAATCTTAAAAAAAAAAAAAAAGATTACTCTTAAGCTTTTTTTTTTTGAGGACCTGCCACAGCCCAAGAAATGCCTGTGTTCTGGTCAGATTGCATTAGCTTTGGTTCTCTTTATCGGATGGAAAACTGAAGAACACGGAAACAGGCACGCCAAACAGTTTCATAAGCCTGTTATTTATTGCCCAATAAAGATACTTAAAAGCTACAAGCGTTGCTTATAGTTCTCTGCAAGGGGAGAACTTCCAGGTGTCCCCCAAGCTCCCAATTTGCCTGCCTTCGAGAGTCCAATCTATTTGTTCTGTCCGATTCTATCTAAACAATAATTTTCAGGAGCTGAACTGATGCGGATACATTATTACTAACTGAAGCCCATACTTCATTCTGATTTCCTTGGTTCTTACCTGATTTTCTTTTTCTGTTCCATGATTCCACTCAGGATACTGCTTGACATTTTGTTGTCCTGTCTCCTTAGGTTCTTCCTGGCTGTGACAGTTTTTCAGAGGGTCCTTGTTTTTTGTTGACCTTGACCATTTTGAGGAGTGTTAGGTGTTTCATAGCATATCCCTCAATTGGGATTTGTCTGGTGTTTTTCTGATGTTTAGACTTGAAGTGAGGAGGTTGTGGGTTTCGGTGAGAAGACCAGAGGTTAAGTTCCGTTTTCATTCCATCACATCAAAGGTACTATGCTTGGTTAAATAGCATCATCTCCCCCAAAGGCCTGTCTACTTGGACTTTCAGAATGCGACCTTAGGGACACCTGGATGACTCAGTTAAGCGTCTGCCTTCAGCTCAGGTCATGATCCCAGGGTCCTGGAATCAAGTTCTGCACCAAGCTCCTTGCTCGGTGGGGAGCCTGCTTCTCCCTCTGCCTCCTGCTCCCCCTGCTTTTGCTCTCTGACAAATAAATAAATAAAATCTGAAAAAAAAAAAAAAAAAAAGAACATGACCTTATTTGAAAAGAGGGTCTTTGCAGATGTGATGAAGTTAAGATGAGATCGTAATTAGAATGAGTCCTGATCCCATGACTTGTGTCCTTACAAGAAAACAGAGACATAGAGGTAGACACACAGGGAATGCCATGTGGTGACGGAGAGAGAGATTGGAATTATGTTGTCACAAAACAAGGAATGCCAAAGATTGCAGGCGCCCCCAGAAGCTAGGAGGGAAGCGTGGAAGAGATTCTCCCTCAAGCCCCCAAGAGGGAATCAACCCTGCCGAGTCGTTGATTTTATTTTATTTTTAAATTTATTTATTTATTTGAAAGAGAGAGGAAGTGGGGAGAGGGGCAGAAGGAGAGAGAATCTCAAGCAGACTCTGTGCTGAGCATGGAACCTGACATGGGACTCGATCCTGAGACCCTGAAGTCAAGAGTAGAATGTTTAACGGACTGGGGCGCCCAGGCACCCCTAAGTCCTTGAGTTTAGACATCCTTCTGCCATTAAGTTTGTGTTAACTTATCACAGCAACCATAGGGACCTAAGACCGATACATCTATCAATATGATTTTGACAATGACCTTGATCGTCTGGCTAAGACAGCATTTGCCAGTTTCCTCCACTCTGAAGGTATGATTTTCCCCCCTTTGCATACTGTGCTTTTTGGAAGGAAGTCACTGTACATAGCCCCTCTAAGGAGGGGATTCTGTTCTACATCACGAGGTACTACTACTTTTAGATTTCTTCTTCCAATATTTTCATATATGGTGTTACCAATTTAAAAGACTGATATTATCTGTTGAAGAACTTGCTACTGTAGCAACTTGTTAAACCCTGTTACTTACTCTGTTAGCTTTCCTTCCCATTTGCTTTATTTGGATTGTGTGTAATTGTAATTGCAAGCTCTTGCCTCCTTTTCCTAATATTTATATATTACATTTGTTATATGTCTAATTGCATTGGCCAGAACTCCAGAAGGCTGTTCAAGTCAAGAATAGCAATGATTGGAGATCTAGCGCCCAGCCTAGGACTTTTGTCTGGTGGGGACTCACGCCTCCTCCTCCACTCCCTACATGAAATTCTGGTGGGTCTATTAGCAGTTACAGTGGTGACATTTGGAAGCTTTTGGGTTTGTGAGTGGACAGCTAAGAATTCTTGGATGTTTTTGGTGCAAAAAGGTGATTGTATTATAGCATGGGGACAGGACCTGTGGACAGAAACAGTGACACTGATTTTGTGAAGTGTTAAAAAATACTTTTTAATTAGCGGGGCTTAGGAATAGCATAAGTTTCTAAGGAATTGGAAAACAAGGCTATCGGGATCTTGAAGGGCTAGCTGCTGTTAAGATAAAGTCACTTTTAGTCTTTTTAATAAAACAGAAACCTTAAGGCAGGAAGGCAGCCATGAATTCCTTGAGGAAGGTCACACTCTGTAAATTTCAGGTATTTATCAGTGGGATGCAAGCTGGAAGGAGATTTAATTTCAGCTACATTTGTCTTGCCTTTGTTTCCCTCATCAATAGCACCCAGCCCTTTTCGGACAGAGCTGAGAGCAGGGCACCCTCCAGCCAAACATTCCACCCTAGTCCCTTGCCCAGGATGATTGTTTCAAAGTGAGCAAGAAACCTACATATGAAACCTACAAACATCTTTTTTGTCTGTTTGTTTCCATCTAGAAAAGGGAGGGTCTTATTACCTGGCTTAGGGGGTGGGAAAGAAAGGGGTGAGTGTTGCTGAAGGTCGCCCTGCCCCCTCCAGGGAAAGAAAGGTTGCCCACAGAGAAAAATATGAAACTGGGGAGAGAATCAAAAAAACGAGGGGGAGGATGAGGAGAGTGGAAGGGGCGGGGGCGAGGGAGAACACTAAAGATCTTATTTTAAAATCCCCGAATCCAAACTTTCTGGTTATGAGAGCCCCCAAAGTTGAATCACTTATTACAACCAAAGGCATTTCGACTATTAGAGAAATCATCCTGTCCTAGGGACTAACGTCTGCTGGGCAATTACTGTTTAGCAGGCTGAAAACCAAGGGGTTCACTTTCACAAGCTTACTGAGTCCTCCCAAACCAGTGATGGAGAGGCCATTTCAGTTTTACACAGGAGGGAACTGAGGCTCTGGGAGGTAAGCAAGTTGCTCTGCTCTCCGGGTGGCAGGTGTCTCCTGAGTCCGAATTTGTTAATGCTCACAAACTTTTGTTCCCCCACTTCAGGCTGATGGGTAAATAAATAAAGAGGCCGGAGGTACCCGCATAGTTCTATTTGGAAAACGTGGGCTTGTTGCTCTATTTTAGTAGATACTAAGTTTTTCAATACAGTTGGTGGGCGAGGAGGAGTACGCATGTCCCAAACGCAGCCTCAAAAAGCGCGTGTTGAGCGCACTGCGCTGAGCGAGTCCCGCGAAAGCTCAGGTGCCCGCGATGCAGGCGAGCGTCCAGCTCGCGCCCCTGGCCGACCACCCGGGCGGAGTGAGAACTCCAGGCTCTTCTTTGCCACACGTTTCACAACCTGAAGCCCTCGGCGCAAGGCCCAAGACACGGGCAAGCCGTGGCGTCCGAGGCTCGGAGACTCCAGGCGCCCAGAACTCTTTCCGTCTGGTCCCAGACCTTGTGCATCCTCTTGGTTTCCCAGTCCGGGAGTCCGTGGGCCTCTGCGAGACCCGCGGGCGTCCACGCTCGTGTGGAGATGCAAGGGATGCGCCCAAGGTCGCGGCCGGACAGGCGGCACGCCCGGCTGGGCCCTGGGCTGCTGGCGGGCTCGCGACGCTAGGCAGGCGGCCCGGGGCGGGGACTGGGGCGGGGGCGGCCCTGCGTCCTCCCAGAGGCCGCCTCTGCGCTCCCCAAACACAGAGCGCAGAGGAGGCCCTGTGCTCTCTCAGAGGCCGCCTCTGCGCTCCTCAAACGCAGAGTGCAGAGGTGGTCCTGTGCCCTTTCACAGGCCCCTTCTGCGCTCCCCAAACGCAGAGCGCCAGGTGCATGGAGGCTGTAGAGGAGCCCCCCCGGCCGGGAGGCCAGGGGGCCGGTCTGGGAGGCCAGGGACCCGGGCCGGGAGACCAGGGGGCCGGCCCCGAGAGCCCCGGGCCGGGAGGCCAGGAGGCCGACCCCGAGAGCTCCGGGCCGCGCTGCCCGCTGCTGTCCGGCTTCCGAGAGGAGCTGCGAGCGCTCCTGCTTCTGGCGGGCCCCGCGGTAAGTAAGGCGGCGTCGGTGGGAGGTCGGCCCCGCGCGTCGGGGACCCGGGGCGCGCGTGTGGCCCCGGGTGACCGGGGAGTGGGGGGAGGGAGCGAGCGAGCTGGCGGCCGGCGGGCGGGCGCGGGGGGACGCGGTGCCCAGAGAGAGCAGGGCAGGCGCGCGTCCGGGTGCCTCCGCGTGTGTCCCGGGTCGCGCGCTCTGCACCCTCGCCGGGGCGGACCGCGGGGCGCGGCAGGCACACTTGGCACAGGGCGCGCCGCTGGCACCCGCCCGGGCGTGGGGAGCCCCCAGGGAGCGGGCACCTCCTCGCCTCCAGGCTCTCCTGGGGCGCATTCTTGGGATGCGGACTCCATCAAGCAAACAAGTTCGCCGAACCGTTTGACATTGTTTGAGAACTAGCTGTTGAGTTGGGACGTCAGGTAGCTAAATTCACCCAAGACAGGATAATTAAATTATCCATTTAGTAATTAGTAATTAAACTACATTAGTAATTTAGTAATTAAGCTAAATTATCCTCCGTGAGGCAGGGAGGAAGGGGGTGAAATTGTATGTCCTGGATCAAGATCTCCAAAACCTTCAGAGTTACTCAGACTCTGCAGAAGGAAACCAGAGGCATCCTTTTCTGCCCCATACTCTCCTCCCGTTAGTGGGTTTATTTTTAAAAAATGTCTTTATGTGGTTCTCTTTGAGGTTGAGGTTTCTTCCCATCATTAGGTTAGGGTTTTTTCTGGTTATCTAGGTGAAAGTTATGTGGGTTTTAAAAACCACAAGAAATAGAATCCCGTCCCTGTTTTCCTGACCGTTTGGGTGGTTTTCGAGTCAGCGGAGTGAGTCATTTCATTGGACAAGAAGAATCCGTTGTGGTTTTAAGGGATAAGTTTTGGGCGGCTGCGTAGATATTCCGCACTGGCGAAGGTTAAGGTGGGCTGGTGCGTGTTCCTGGCACGGTGCGCCACTGTTGGTGGGATCGTGTGATACCTGCTGTGCTGTGCAGGGGCCAAGAGTAACACCAGGGAGAAAGCCAGGAAAGGAAAATCCATCCACCAAAAAGGTGTTTGTGAAGTTCTCTTGCAAAACGGAAAGAATGCATGGTTTGGAGTCTCCATTCTCCATACCTGGGGCCCAGTTCTCTGCTTTGATCTCAGAAGGCAGGTTAGGAAACAGCTGTGTGACCTTGAGTAATTCCCTGTCCCTACCCTCTTCTAGCCTCTGCTTTTCCATGCATAAACTGAGGCTCCTGATCCGTGCCCAGATTTCCCCTGCAGAGCAGCTGTGAGAAAGTTCTCTCCATAAGACTGTTACTGATGTAGTAAAACAACAAACACCACAAGGCAGCTTCCTGAGACCCTGCCTCTCCGGGGACCAGTCCTTTGTCTCTGCAGGTTCCCGAAGTAACCTGGTCCCCCTTGATGCAGGAGACCTTCTAGGTCTCCAAGGACGGGCACCAGCCTGACATGCTTGGTTCTTTATGTTCGTGCGCGTACAGCGTAAAGATGTATGGGACTGTGTTAGTTATGAATGTAATTAATATTTGTCCTTGTAGGAAAAAAACTAGAAAACCCAGGCAACCAAAGGAAAACGCCACAGAGATAATTTGGGAATTCATTTTCCTTCCAGTCCTTTGAGAGTGGGTTTGTATGTGATGGCTTCACCGAGTGACATCCTAGAGTTCTGGTACCTGGTCAGTTTCTTGTGAATTCTATATGGAGCCCCTCTTGGTCTTTCTACAGCTCTGTTTCCATCTGCTGCGAGCATTCTGCTTCCTGAGGGGCTTGGAGGGGGAGGAGATAGATGCCTCCTTCTCCTGTGCTCAGTGTCCCATACTCTGTTCTCCAAGGATCTACCATCAATTAGGTGGAATGCCTGGTCTGAATTTCCTGTCTCTGATTTTGTCTCTCCCATTCACGACCTGCTTTCCAGGCCTCTCGTGTGAACATGGGCCCTTGAGATCTGAGATAGGCTTCAGGCTCAGGTGTTCAGACTTCCCTTAACCCTCTCCCATCGCGCTTTCGGTAAGGCCTGTAGAGAGAATATTCCTAACACAAGGGAAAGTGGTGCATATCAGAACACACGTCACTACGTGTTCTAATTGTCGTGCAGAAAACGTATTTGTGTGAGAGAGAGATGTAGCTGGTAGTACCTAGGCTTGGGCATTTCAGTCATGCTTCCTTCTGGTTGTTAGGATTGTGTCTTTTTTTTTTTTTTGTTTTAAAGATTTTAACTTGACAGAAAGAGATCACAAGTAGGCAGAGAGGCAGGCAGAGAGAGAGGGGGAAGCAGGTTCCCTGCTGAGCAGAGAGCCCGATATGGGGCTCGATCCCGGGACCCTGAGATCATGACCTGAGAGGCAGAGGCTTAACCCACTGAGTCACCCAGGCACCCCCCACCCTTTTTAAAAGTGTTTTACCTTTATCATGACTCAGGTAATATGACTCAGGTCAGAGTCCTGAAGATAATCCCAGAGAGGGATGGCACTTTGTCCAGGAGCATGGGCTGTGCGCTGCATTGCCAAGGATGGAAACAGAGTAGAATAGCTTGGGTCCAAACCGAGAGAGTTCGTTTTCGCCCATGTGCAGAAAGGACTGCCTGAGAGGGAGCCGGAGAGCCTTCTAGGGCTGCAGGGCAGGAGGACCAGAGCCGGCCCCGCAGGGTGAGGGGCAGCTGGATGGACGGGCCAGACTAAACACAAGGCATGCAGGCTAATGGCTTGATTTTTATCCTAGAAGCAGTGGGGAAAGTCCTTGGTGACATATGTAGGGCTCAGCAGAAGCAAGCTGCCTGCCATAGGCACAAGATGATCTAGGCTTAGGTGATAAAGGTCTCCAAGAATGAGAGGCATTGCAAAGGCTGATGGGCGTGGAAGCAGGTGGGCGGGGGAGGCCTGGGGGTCCTTACCTCCCCTCCACCATCCATGCTCCATGCCTGGACCACGGCAGCCTCCCTCTGCCCTCTCCCCTCTTTAGCTAGGCGCCCTAAATACTCCATGTGGAGCCAGCCACCAAAGTCCTCTTTGGGGGGGATGTGCGTGTGAGCTTGTCACCCCCCCTTTGTTGGTCTAGTGAGGTCCTGTGGGGTTTGGCTCCTGTCAGGAGTTTGTCTGGTTCTTCCCCTCAGCCTTGCCTCAGACCCCACACCTTCTTGCTGCTCTGTTTCCTCTGCCTGGAACATTTTGCCCAGATGGACAGCCCACCTTCTCCTGCCTGTTCACCATTCAGGTGTCTGTGGAGCTTCATTTCTTCCAGAACCTTCTCTGACTCCCAGGTTGTGCTCTTAGAGCTCCTGTTGCCTTTGCAGTGCCCATCTCCTGGGTAACTGGCCGTGTTATCCCATGTTGAGCTTCTTCCCCTGCTCTAGGGTGGGTCCCATGAGAGTAGGAATGGAGTGACAGCGTTCCTTGTCCTTCTGTCCATGTCCCCAGTGCTTGGCGTGTGGTTTGTGCCCCAAAGATGTTGACCCCACAAGTCAAGTGACTTGGGTCCCAGTTGTTCCTCCATGATGAACCAGCTGTGTGACTTGGGGCTGCCTGGGTTTTCCCCTGTGTCAATGATGAGGCTGTACCCCATGTTGTTGGCTCCTTCCAGTGTTAACCTTTCAATACCAGGAGTGAGCTTTCAGGCATCCATGGGAGGGGGCGAAACCAGGGCTTCTGGCACGGTGCTCACATAGCGAGCACACTGGGCAGGCTTTTAGCCTCTGTGTCCTCCGGCCCTGGGGAGCTCCCTTCCAAAGCCTGCAGGTGGCAAGACTTTTGTTTATACTGCCAGGGTAAAAACACGAGTGGGGCGTGAGTGGCGGGAAGAAATAGAGGCATGGTCTCAGTCTGATGATTTCGCTTGTGCATTTGACTACAGCTAGCCCCTGCCAGTCAGGCTGTTGCTGAGACAGCCATCCTTGAGGCACGCGGGGGGCACAAAATTGCCTAATTCCTCAGGCACGGAAGTGGGCCCCGTGATGGGTCTCGTCCTTGACTGGGTGTTTGGATGCGGTGGGCGTGGGGGTGTTGAAAGGCAGATCCTACAGCCCCAAAGACGTTTGGGATGTCTCTTGAGCTAGGGCGGGGCATCGATGGGCTGAGCAATGTCCCCAGGGGCCCCTCCTGTACGGGAACCACAGTGCGATGGCCAAGAGCCCACCCAAAGAGCTTGAAACCAGGATTTGAGAACAGGGACTCGCAGCTAGCAAGCAGAGCCGTCTGTTTCCCTTGAAGGAGTCAGGAATTAAAGGTGCTTGGCAGATTGGGGGATTCTCACCCCACAATTTCCAGAACCCGCTGATCTTCCGGTTGAAGAACCCCATTTTTTAAAGGTTTTATTTATTTATTTATTTGACAGACAGAGATCACAAGTAGGCAGAGAGAGAGGGGGAGAAGCAGGCTCCCTGCGGAGCAGAGAGCCCGATGTGGGGCTCGATCCCAGGACTCTGGGATCATGACCAGAGCCGAAGGCAGAGCCATTAACCCACTGAGCCACCTTGGCGCCCCTCTTGCTGACTTTTGAAGGCTGTATTCCCTCTAGGCCTCCTTGGGAATTTGAGATAATGAGGGGGTTATCCCAGAAGGCAGCCTCTGAGAATTTCAGAGAAAATAGATCTGTGATCTCCGGCCTGAGAATCCAAAGTGAAAAATCAACTCAGAAAACGGGGAAGTTCTCAAAGATGTGATATTGATCACAATTGCAAACAAACTCTTTAATATCCTTCAAGAAAGCTACCAGAAGTTGCACATTTGCCTGTGAAAGTTGGCAGAGGCTCACTGATGGCAGAATTTCTTTACTTTTTTTTTAAATTTTTTATTTATTTGACAGAGAGAGAGATCATAGGTAGGCAGAGAGGCAGGCAGAGAGAGAGGGGGAAGCAGGATCCCTGCTGAGCAGAGAGCCCAATGTGGGACTCGATCCCAGGACCCTGAGATCATGACCTGAGCCGAAGGCAGAGGCTTAACCCACTGAGCCACCCAGGCACCCCTTTACTTTTTTTTTTTTTTTAAGATTTTATTTATTTGACAGAGATCACAAGTAGGCAGAGAGGCAGGCAGAGAAAGAGAGGAGGAAGCAGGCTGCCCTCTGAGCAGAGCCCCTGATGCGGGGCTCGATCCCAGGACCCTGAGATCATGACCTGAGCCAAAGGCAGAGGCTTTAACCCACTGAGCTACCCAGGATCCCCTACTTTTTTTTTTTTTTTTAAGATTTATTTATTTACTTGAGAGCGAACGAGCACTAGTGGGAGGGATAGAGGGAGTGTGAGAATCTCGAGCAGACTCTGTACTAAGCACAGAGCCCGATTCAGGACTCGATCTCACGACCCTGAGATCACAACCTGAGCCGAAACCAAGAACCGGATGCTTAACCAGCTGCGCCACCCAGGCACCAGTTTCTTAACTTCTGACTAGAGTGGATTTTGGGGGGGCTCCCGCCGGCATCTCATGCCCTTCTCCCGCTGTGATGGTCGGGACTCACCTGCGGCTCCTTTTCTGTCTCTTCCAAGTTCTTGGCGCAGTTGATGGTGTTTCTGATCAGTTTCATAAGCTCCGTGTTCTGTGGCCACCTGGGGAAGCTGGAGCTGGACGCGGTCACCCTCGGGATCGCGGTATGTATTGGACTTCCTAACACGCCTTTCTGAAAGCTGTCCTTACGGGTTTCCTCTTGCTCCTTCCCATCCTTTAATGGCTTAAACCAGCACAGTTCATTATCTTATGGTCCTGGAGGTCAGATGTCTCAAATGGGCTTTGCTGGGCTAAAAACAAGGTGTTGACTGGGCTGTCCCCTTTTTTCTGTTTGCAACTCTAATTCTCCTTTGCCATGTAATCTCACATTTTCCCAGGATCCGGGGGTTAAGACCAGACATCTCTGGAGGGCCGTTGTTCATTCTCCCAGATCAGTGAATTTGTAATCCGTGGAGCTCTGGCTCCTGTCCCCACTTCCATCTCCATGATACAGAACTGGAAGGTGAAATCCTGGTGTCCAAACCTAAAATTGAGAGGAACCCCAAATTGGGGATCAAAATGCCCAGGGCTTACAGAAGGAAAGGGCTTGGTAATAACCTCTGGCTGAGACTTTTTCTTTTCTCTCCAGACTTGTGCCCATCCTTTAGTGGGCCCAGCGGGTTTGTGCAAGGGCTCCAGGGGAGGGACAGGGCTGGGTCGGCTGACTTGGGAGGGTTGCCGGAGGTACACAGCAGCCTCTGATCTGGGCGGACAGAGAAATCACCTTCCTGCCTCCCTTTTACTCTGCATGGCCGTCTTCATTTCTTTCCAGGTTATCAATGTCGCTGGTGTCTCCGTGGGCTTTGGCTTATCTTCTGCTTGCGACACCCTCATGTCCCAGGTAAATGGAAACAGCAGGTGACTCTTGCAAGTGGGAGGGCCCCACTGGCAGGAAGGGAGGGTTTCGTCCTCAGAGGGAGGGACTCCAGGACAGCAAGCCTTCCATTCCGCTTTCCACTGCCTGCTTTCTTGGAAATGTGGCCAGGTGCCTTGTGGGCTTGGGAAGCCATATTTATCCTTTTGACTGCAAAGGGGACACTTTGTACAGGTCCCAGTACTTTCAACATTCCTGAGTTTGACACTGTCCTGCGCTTCTCAAACTTGAGTGCCCACCTGAGCTACCTGGGAGTGGTGGGGGGCTTGTTAAAACAGTCTGGGGGCCTCCCACCAGTGGCCTGCTGGTAAATGTTGAATGTCCAGGTCTCGGGCGGGAGGAGGGAAATGTCCTGACCTTCATGGTTTGCTCGTTGCGGTGGCAGAAGGAGCTACTTTGTCTGGAGCCCGTCTCAGGCTGCCACACAGACATCACTGAACGTGGCCCTGGGAGAGACGTGCATAGTTTGGCTTCTGGAAGCCCATGGAAGCTCAGAGTTTCTGCTCTGAGCTTGGGGGTTAGGCAGCAGGATACTGCATCTCTAAGAGGTTTCTAGCTGACCAATAGGTCATTAGAATCTCATGGGAAGCTTTCAAGAATGACTGCTCTCTGCGGCCCCACCTTCCAGGTGTTAAATCCTGACTTGTCTTTGGTGGGACCGTGGCATCGGGGTTTTCAGAAGGCCCTCCAGGTGATTCCAATGGGCAGCCAAGTCTAAGAACCATGAAACCCTAAGGAGTGTGGCAAAGTCTTAGGACCATCTTTATGGATCCCAATTGCAGGCCTTTGTGGGGCCAGGGGTGTAGGGGGTACCATTCCTCTGCTAACGGGTTTGTTTTGACTGCACCCCTAGACATACGGGAGCCAGAACCTGAAGCATGTGGGGGTCATCTTGCAAAGGGGGATCCTGGTGCTCCTTCTCTGCTGCTTCCCCTGCTGGGCCCTCTTCCTCAACACTGAGCAAATCCTGCTGCTCTTCCGGCAGGACCCGGCTGTGTCCAGGTCAGGTGGGCCTGCGCCACGGTGGGGTTGGGTCCCTCTGGGCAGAAAAATGGACCTGTCCTAGTTTAGCCTCTGGGAATTACAAAGGCCACCCCTGAGATGGGGAGGTCCAAGGATTCCCCCCAGCTGGCTTCCACCAGGCCGTGGTGCTGTCCACACCTGGCACCCAAGGTCTACACCGGTCCTTACTTGAGTTGACTTCAGGGTAAAAAGTCAGGAGCAAAACAAGACTTGCAAACGTTTTCCACTTGACGTAGTAGTTTGTGGCATTTGTTCATGGTTAGTGGTTCTTGACCTTGGCTGATAATGCAAGTCACCTGGGTGTTTAAAAAACCCACTCATACCTGGTCGCCCTCCCCTTCTTAGCATTCCCCTGGGGGGCCAGTGTGAGCATTAATGTCTTTCAAAGTTCCCCTAGAGGATTCTAATCTGCCAAGTTTGAGGTTTGCTGGTTTAGTTCAAATAAGTTCTTGTCCTCGACCAGTGGCTGTGAACCTGGGGACATTTGACAATGTTGGGAGGTACTTCTGGTTGTCAGAACTGGTATGGGGAGAAGCCAGAGAGAATACAAAACCTCTTTCAAAGCACAGTAGAGAATTCTCTGGCCATCGTGCTGAGTTTGAAAAACCCTTTCCTAGGCTTAAAGATTTGGAAGAACCAAGAGAGGTCATCTGGGATCTAAGTTGATAAGGTCTATGTGTCCATTTCCACATTCGCGCTAGCACGATAAGCCCATTAATTCGGAAAGAGCCAAGAATGGGAGAGGCGGTGTTAGTTAGCTTAGCCTCCCTACCCTGGCCTTGGAATGGAGACCCCTGCCACCTTTTTCTCTTTTCATCATATAGGCTTACCCAGGACTACGTCATGACCTTCATTCCAGCTCTTCCTGTAAGTCTAAGGGTTACAATGCCCCCTTCTTGAGGTTCACTGGTAGAAGGCACCTGGGACACCTGGGAGCTCAGTGTGTTGGGTCAGTCTGGGTCAGTCCTAAGGGATTTGCACACATGACTTTGGCTCCTTCAAGGAGCATGGCTTTAATTATGCCCCTGAAAGGCATGGACGTCTGTTCTTCAAGAAACACCTGGGTCAAAGCAAGTCCAAGGGGCCCTGTCCTGAACTCTTAGAGCCAGAGGGACCTTCCGGAATCATCCATGGAAAGGAGTTCAGACTTTTTTTTTTTTTTTTAAGATTTTATTTATTTATTTGAGGGAGAATGAGTGAGAGAGAGCATGAGAGAGGAGAAGGTCAGAGGGAGAAGCAGACTCCCCAAGGAGCTGGGAGCCCGAGGCGGGACTCAATTCTGGAATTCCGGGATCATGACCTGAGCCGAAGGCAGTTGCTCAACCAACTGAGCCACCCAGGCACCCTTTTTTTTTTTTTTGGTGTGGTGGTAAATTCTTCCTGTGTTGAGCCCTCGGGCCTGTCTCCAAACTTCTAGGTTTGTTTCCCTCACGATGCGTGATCACACAGACCCCTCAGTGTGCGATCTTGTTGGACACAATAACGCGTGGTCTGAGACAGTCAGAGTTCCTTTTATTCAGCCGGGTGGTGAGGCTGTCTTTGGTTTGCCTGGGTGGTCATAAAACAGCACATAGACTGGCTGGCTCTAACAACAGACATCAATTTTTCTCATACTGGTGGAAGTGGGCAAGTCCAAAGTCAAGGTGTGGCCGGGTTGGTGTTCTCGGAGGCCTCCCTCCATGGCTTGCAGACGGCCTCCTCTTTGCTGCCTCTTCTCATAGGTGTTCCCCTGAGCAGGGGCAGTCCTGGGGCCCACCTAATGGCCTCATTTTAACTTACATATTTATTTATTTTACTTCTTATTTTTCACTTTTTAAAGATTTTCTGTTTACTCATGAGAGATAGAGAAATAGAGGGAAGGGGGGAGGCAGAAGCAGAGGGAGAAGCAGGCTTCCCACTGAGTAGGGAGCCTGATGTGGGACTCAATCCCAGGACCCTGGGATCATGACCTGAGCCGAAGGCAGAGGCTTAACCCACTGAGCCACCCAGGCGCCCCTGTGGTCTTGAATTTATCCTGAAATCTTTAATGCTTAATATTCCTTAACTGTTCCCCAAATAGGTCTGTTGTCTCATCTACACGAGAGGGGTACCTCCCCTAGAGTTTGCCCAGGGGTCTCCTTGACAGCCTACCACCCCCAGACGAAGTGCCATGCACTCAAGGGAACCAGTCTCCCAGACCCTAGGGTCTCTTGGATTGTGTCCATCCATGAGAGATGTTTGGAACACCCTGGGCTCAGACACCCTGGCTGCCGCCTCCATCCCCTTCTGACACGGTGTGTCTCCCTGGCTCCATGTGACAAGGCCAAAATGTTAATCTTCATCTCTTGTTCTCTCGCAGGCAACCTTTCTTTATATGTTACAAGTGAAATATTTACTCAACCAGGTAATACAGACTCTCTTCTCTCTCTGGAGGGGGAGCTCGTGGGAGTTCATGCAGTTGGGGAGGGGTTGCTCTAAAATACTCAGGAACCATCGAAGTCTTTCCCTGTGTTGAAGGCACAGGACTTTGGTGTGGAGAGGTTTACGAGGTGAAATCAAGGAAAGTATACGTTATTGTTGGCTCTGGGAAAAATCTTATCCGATTCCCCCTTGGAAATATTGCCATTGGCAGGATAGGGTTAGCACTGGAGCCGTCTTTGGCTCCCTAGAAGTGAGGGTGTGTGGCTGTGCGGTCTGCAGAGGGCGCCTTTCGTGCTCCAGGGAGCCAATGTCTCAGCTCCGATCTGTCCAAAGGGCCCTACGCTCCTCGGTGGGGCATGAAGGCCCACGTTGTAATTATACCTCACGTTGGTCAGACCTCCACGTGTGACTAGCAGCAATAGCCAAAGACCCGGGACGGGAGGCATGGATTTGTGATGCCTCGGTATGAGGGACCAAGGACTTGATTCCAAATGGATCCAGGTAAACGAGGGTACCTGGCAGTGGGTCATGGCCATGGAAGCAGGCTCTCCAGGATGCATGGAGGGGCCAAGGCAGGGAAGAGAGAAGGGAGGTGGTTTTCCAACTGTTTCGTGTTCTTAAACGTAAGATCTCACCCTGTGAAGGAAACATTTCAAATCTTCATTAGTGTCTGTAAAGAGGTAGAAGACTCCATGTCTGGTGTCAGCCTGTAACCTTGTCTGAACCCACGTAAAGGCCTCGGCTTGCTCAGGACCTCCTTTGTGTCCGATGGTCTCCCAGTAAACGCGGGGGCTTCTGACCACAGGCTCCAGCTCGGTCCAGTGAGCAGACTGGGAGTGACGACCCCTCTCTCTGATCCTCGGAGGGATAGGGAAAGACCTAGAAGGAGGAGCCCGGAGCCAAGAAGGGCCAGCAGGCATTTACTGGGCTTTGGAGAACACGCGGGGCTCCCGAGTCACCGAGGGGTGGGAGTGCAGAGGCCACGACCACGGTAGAGGGACACAGTGGAGGACAGAGCCAGGGAGGCGGGTTGGCCTGGGCTCAGCACGTGGGGCTCTGTGTTTGTTCCCTCCTGAGGATATTTCAGTTGTTAGAAACCAGTGGATTGGTGGAGGAGGAGAGGGGAGTGACAGACAGGTCCAGACAAAAGATGCCGTGGGTCTCTGACAAGAAGGCATGTCCTGTGGAACCAACGGAAGTCCTATGTTGGGGTATTTCCTATAGAATGAAATGACCCTCAGCTAAAGGTACCGGCAGGAGAGCCAAGAGTTGGGTGTAACCCAGCTTCCATCCTGGGGCAAAGCAGCTGGGCTGGGGACAATGTTAACACTGTTGGGGAGGCTGGGAAGAGCCCTAGATGAAACCAGGGGGCTGCTTAGACTTTCAGCGGGGAGGGTTAGAGAAGGCAACCTTGCTGGCTTCCACTGACCTTCTGCAGGAAGCTGTCTCTTGGATGTTTTCGGTTTCCATCTGTGTGTCCATGGCTCCCACATTTCCAGCTCGAGCCACCAGTCTTGCCCGCTGCCCATGGGAGGCCTGTGCACATAGCGCCCTTGATCTTCTCATCCCCCAGGCCTGCCTCTCCGTTGCCTGCCTTCCCTCCTAGTTAGTGGCCTCCAACATCTTTTCAGGGTAACCTGGCCTCACGTGGCACTCCATCCTTTCCTTCACTCCCACAGCCCATCAGGGATGGTCCTGTAGGTCCTGCCTCTCCCCTCCTTACCCCCACCCCCCACTTCAGTTCTTCTCTTCTCCTCCTCCTTCCTTCTGTGATAACTGCAGGAGCCTCTTACCAAGCCTCCCTGCTGCCACTCCTTCCCTGGGCCAACCCCATCCCATGCTACTTCCTTTACTTTATACCTGAAAGGTAGGTGTGGTCACCTGCCTCCTTTGCTAAAAACTAAGCAGGTCACCTGATAAGTTGGTGACCCATAGTAGTGGTTGGCCATGATCCTTGCCTTGGTCCCCGAGCCCGGGACTACTGAGACCACTAGAGACAAACACGCAGCAGGACAGAGTCGTGGCAGCCGTAGTGGAGGTCAGAGGAGTGTGGTTCTCACTCAACAAAGGAGGAAGAGAGCTATGATTCTGTAGAGCGGAGTTCAGGAGCAGTCCAAGGGAGGTCATGTTTTGGTGGACTCCGACCAAAGCAGGAAAGGGTCTGCCTTGGCAAGTGGGCCTAACTAAGTCCGCTCTTCCTTGGGGAGCTCAGCTGCAGATGGCCGTGTCCAGAAACCCATGAGAAGCCCGCCCCCACTGAGATGGAAATCAAGACTGCTTTTTGTGTGTGTGAGAGTGACTTCAGTCCCCCAGGCAGCTGAGGGATCTTTGAGGTCTACTGAGTTGACTTCAAACAGCCAAATGTCCTGTGCTCTGGGATTTTTAGAGAGCCAGGTTTCTCAGAGAGAGAAAAAGCATTCAGAGAAGGGGCCGGGGTGACCTGTTTGCAGCCGGAGAAACAGCACCTCCTGTCACAGTCACCGCTGGCTTCCTGGTGTCTGCGGTTCTGTCCCGATGCTCGGCGGCCGGGTCTGTCCGTCCCCAGCCTGTGTATGTCGTTTTCCCCTTCCGCTGGAAGTCTTCCACTGAGATGCCGGACAGCCTGGAATCTTCTGCCCTGTACTTGCAGGCAGAGCAGGTGTGATGGAGTGCTTCCCATGTTCTGGGTTTGTGAGGGCGTCCTAGGTTTTCTTCCATCATCGAACTTCCATTTGGTCAAGAAAGCGCTGAGCTGTCAGGCACCATCCAGTGCTGAAAGTGACTTGTTTATACTCCGTCCCTGTCAGTCCTTGCGCTCTGGAAGGCACCGGTTTGTCTCCCAGCCTTGTTTTCCCCCGTCTGCCTGCCGGCGGCCAGAGCTCCGCTTCCCTGCCCCGGAAGAAGGGTATGGGAGGCAGGCAGGTAGGAGCAGCGAGGAAGGGCATCCAATTGGGTCCTTGGGGCGTGCCTGTGGCAGCCCTCCACGCCTGTGTGTTTGGGGACGAAGTGGCAGTCCCGCTCCTTGGTCTCCAGCATGGGGTGTGGTCTCTCTTTCAGGGAATCGTACTACCCCAGGTCCTAACCGGAGTAGCAGCCAACCTTGTCAATGCCCTCCTCAACTATCTTTTTCTTTATCAGCTGCATTTTGGGGTGATGTGAGTGCTACTGATTCTTGGGACCGGGGGAAGGAATGACCTTGGGATGGGGGGAAGGAGTGACCTGGGGGCTGGGGGAAGGAATGACCGTGTGGCTTTTCCAGGGCAGGATGGTGGGAGGGGTGGAAACCTAGACCTGGTCAACATGTCTGTGTGTGGTCCCCTCCCTGGGCCACTCTGGAATACATTCTCCGGGATGGACAGTGAGGCTGCCCCAGAAAGAAGACGCGTTCAGGGCTTACATAGGGGTCCCAGCAGCATGGAGGATGGGCACCTCCCCTCACTGGGACTGTTCTTTCCAGGGGGTCGGCACTGGCAAATACCATTTCCCAGTTCACCCTGGCACTCCTCCTTTTCTTCTGCATCCTTGGGAGGAACCTGCATCAAGCTACTTGGGGAGGTAAAGACCGCCGTTTGCGTTCCAAGTTGGTCAGGGGTTTTGTCTTGGGTTGAGGTCTGGCCCAGCCACTTGTGTGTCATTAATAGGTCTGTGTCCCCACTGTTACAGGGTGGTCCTGTGAATGTCTGGAGGACTGGGCCTCCTTTTTCAGCCTGGCCATCCCCGGGATGCTCATGCTGTGCATGGAGTGGTGGGCCTATGAGATCGGAAGCTTACTGAGCGGTCAGTGTGGGGGCAAGTGGTGATGGCCGGCGTAAACGCGGGGCCCTGTCCAGAAGCGCGGTGTCAGCTGCCTCTCTCCGCCAGGTATCCTCGGCATGGTGGAGCTGGGAGCCCAGTCTGTCCTGTACGAACTGACCGTCATTTTGTACATGGTGAGTGTCTGGGAGCCGGTCGTGGGGAGGTGCTAGATGTTTCCCTTGAACAAAGAGTCTGAAGAACAAGTATAGGCATTCCTCCCATGAGTAACTTTTATTTATTTATTTACTTATTCATTCATTTGACAGAGAAAGACCTAGTGAGAGAGGGAACACGAACAGGGGGAGTGGGAGAGGGAGAAGCAGGCTTCTTGCTGACCAGGGAGCCTGATGCAGGGCTTGATCCCAAGACCCCAGGATCATGACCTGAGCCAAAGGCAGACGCTTAACGACTGAGCCACCCAGGCGCCCCACAGTAATTTATAGACTGATTTAGGAAAGTAAAATTTTATCCCAGAGCCTGGGAGGGTCCATTTGGAACGATGGGGTCTTCCCTGGGAGCTCTGGAAAGTTGGGAAGAATGAGATGCTCAGGGTTGGTCAGGCATGTCCTTGATTGCCACACTTGCCAAACATGATGAATGTTTTCCAGTTGTCACTATTCAAATGCCCAGGGTGGGGTACAGGTGGGGGTCTGAAGGACAATGGCGCTAGGTGCGTGGCAAGAAGAGCCTAGCTCCTGTGGGTCCCCGAACTCCCCTGCTGCCTGGGTCTGAGGCTTCAGACCCCTCATGGGTTAGACCCTAAAGACATGAAAGCAGGGTCTCCAGCATTGTTCACAATAGCCAAAAGGTGGCACCAACCCAAGTGTCCATCAAGAGATGGACAGAGAAGCACACTGTGGTCTCTCCGTACAATGAACTATTACTCAGCCTTGGAAAGGAAACATCTTCATGTGCTAGAGACGAATCCCAGTTATTAGAGGCTTTCCTTTGACTTTGTTTTAAAAAGATTGTGTTTTAAAATTGAAAACAGCAACTGGAAATTCTGAAGGGCTTTTGTCTCTAGCCCCGTGCCCTTAGAAAGGGAGAATTGTAACGTGGAAGGGACTGGAAACGGCACACTAATGCTTAGCACTCCCACCCCCCGCCCCACCTTGGGTCTGGTTATGTTTAAGAATTATGTAAAATACGTATTTACTATTTTTTTAAAGATGTATCTGTTTGAGAGAGAGAGAGAGAGAGAGTGCGCGCGCACTTGAGGGGGAGGGGCAAAGGGAGAGGAAGAGACACTCTTAAGCAGACTCTGCGCTGAGCATGGAGCAGGACTCTGGGCTTGATCTCACGACCTTGGGATCAGACCTGAGCCAAAACCAAGAGTCGGATGCCTAACTGACTGTGCCACCCAGATGTCCCCGTATCTCACTTTTTTTTTTTTTTTAAAGAATCAATCTCCCAAGGAACTCTGATTTTTGTTTTTGCTTTTATTCTATGTTTGGCAGAATTTCTAAACCTGTATTCATCACTTCAACTCTTGATATTTTATATACATGTTTTTTAAATTTTAGTAAGTTCCGTACGTATATCCAAATCAAAATGTGTACCGGTGTCTCCTTATATGTATAATTTTTAAACCCATCTTTTACTGCGAAATTAAATATTCTGTGCTTTAGGACAAAGTATCTTTACATCTTTCCTTAAAATAAATTCCTAAAAGTGAAACTTAATTACAGTTTTATGTTTTTCGCATATATTGCCATATGCTTTCCAAGGCTCATAAGAATTTACACTTGTATTTCTCTAATCGAAACAAGAGTCTGTATCCTTTACTCCTATTCCCCAGCTGTTTACATTTTGGCCCGTTTCCTCACTTTATCAATCAATCTATGTATCTACCCATCACCTCTGCATCCTGTATTCAAATACCACCCATTGTTCTGATAATGTCCTTTAAAACTACTTTTCTTCTGGAACTAAAGTGTTATGCTTTTCTAAAAAAATTAATTAACTTGAGAAAGAGTGCATGATCGGGGAGGAGAGGGAGAGAGGGAGCAGCAGACTCCCTGCTGAGCAGTGAGCCTGATGTGGGACTCCATCCCAGCTTCCTGGGATCATGACCTGAGCCGAAGGCTGATGCTTAACCCACTGAGCCACCCAGTTGCTCCCTCTTAAAAAAAAAAAAAAGATTTATTTGAGAGTGTGCAGATGTGGGTGCAAAGACAAGCGAAAGTGGGGAGGTAGATACAGAGGGAGAGAACGTTGCAGACTCCTCCCTGAGCGTAGAGCCCAACGCTCTATCCCATGACCCAAGATGACGACCCTGAGACCGTGATCTCACCCAAAACCAAGAGTTAGAGCTCAACTGACTGAGCCCCCCAGGTGCCCCTAAAGTGTTAGGCTTCCTTAATCTTCTTTAATCTAGAGCAGATCCTCAGCCTTCGTCTTTCTCGAACTTGACCTTTTGAAGAACAGAGGCACTTTATACAGACTTTCCCTCAGTGCGTCGAGCTGACACTTCTTGTGAATGGTTTCCGAGTCTGCATTTTTGGCAGGAATACAACAGAAGTGTCGCTGTGTGCTTCTTGCATGTTCTGTCCAGTGACCTGGATTTGTTCCACGATGGGTGATACTAACTCATTTCGTGGTTAAGGTGGTGTCTGCTCTTTCCCTTGGTAGTTAATATATGATCAGTGGGAGAGCTGTGTGTCCGTTCCCACTAGTGAGTTTCCGGCGGGTACTCAGTCTCGCAGGTCTCCTGTGTTCCTCACTCTGAGATTTCTGTCATCCTGCCCCCCGGTCAGCCTGCGCAGGAGGCAAAATTCATGTTCCAATGGCTGATGACTTTTTTTTTTTTAACCTAATCCTGCTTTCTCCAGGGGTAAATTTGTAGGTACTAGTAATGACTAATTTTTATTGAAGAGCTACTACACGTGAGGCCTTGTCCTAAGCAGCTAGCATATATGGACTCCTCTCATCCCCACAGTAACCTTACAAGCTAGGCTCTGTTACAGGATCCCATTTACAGCAAACAACTGAGGCCAAGAGAGGGTGAGTAACTCGCTCGGGGTCACCCAGCAGATAAATGGCTGCATCAGGACTTGAACCCAGGCAACATGGCTTCAGAAATACCCATTCCTTGGGGCTCCTTGGTGGCTCAGTGGGTTAAAGCCTCTGCCTTCGGCTCGGGTCATGATCTCAGGGTCCTGGGATTGAGCTCCGCATCGGTCTTTCTGCTCAGCAGGGAGCCTGCTTCCCCCTCTCTCTGCCTGCCTCTCTGCCTACTTGTGATCTCTGCCTGTCAACAAAATAAATAAAATCTTAAAAAAAAAAAAAAGAAAAGAAATACCCATTCCTAACCACTGCGGCATCCTGGCCTTCCTGGGTCTGCTTTAATACCACTCTTAATCCCGTCCTTCCCCAACGCCCCCCCTCCCCCCAACACACAAGGGTAGCCTGCTCTCAGCTTGGTATGCATCTTCCTGTTTTCCTAAGTTCCTTTTTACCCAAGATTTGGGGGAAGAGGGAAGGGGGAAGGGCACCTGTTTAGGATTCTGTTTTCTAAACTTTTTTTTTTTTAATTTTATTTATTTATTAGAGAGAGTGAGCGAGATAGAGCACCATTGGGGGTAGGAGAAGACTCCCTGCTGAGCAGGGAGCCCCATGTGGGACTCGATCCCAGGACTCCGGGATCATGACCTGAGCGGAAGGCAGACGCTTAGCTCACTGAGCCACCAGTTGCCCCTGTCTTCTAAACTTGATCCGTGTTGGTCTCTCAGACTTAGCTTGGGCTCCTGGTGGTCCCCCCTCCCACACGAGAAAGGAGGAACGTAAGCCTCCATTGCATACTTTATAAGCCCTGTAAGTGCGCCTCTGTCCTGGAGAAGGTTCACAGTTGGGCTCAGAATGGACTCCGGAGGCAGGGCTGCCTCTCTGCTCCCTGTTCGCTCTTTCCTTGTCATTACTGTATGTTTCTTTTTGTATTTCAGATACCTTCAGGCTTCAGTGTGGCTGCCAGCGTCCGGGTGGGGAACGCGCTGGGCGCGGGAAACATCCAGCAGGCCAAGAAGTCGTCAGCTGTTGCCCTGCTGGTCACAGGTGCTTAGAGTCTCCCGTCAGCGACTCAACTGGGTCTTTGCATGGGAAGCCCAGCTGCTCGGTTCCCGACAGCCTTCCCTTCTCACTGCGCTGTCTCTCTGCCATTTTTACCTCCAGGACTCTTTGCTGTAACCTTCTGTGTCCTGATGTTAAGCTGTAAGGATCTCGTGGGGTATATTTTCACTACCGAACGGTGAGTGCAGAGATTTTCTTGAAATGTGAAATCTGCGGTAAAAACATGGTTAAAAAAAAAAAAAAACAAAAAAGGGTTGGGTAGATGCCCTCCTGGGAGAGCTGCCTCCCAGAGGGTCCCTGAGCCATTCAGAAGATGAGAAACGTGCTGCCGTTACCTAGGAAGAACAGGTCCGCTTTGGGAGCTAATTTATCATCCAGAATCTGCTGATAGATGCTGCTGGTGTTTGGGATATGCATGTATTTTATTTTATTTTATTTATTTGTTTTTAAAGATTTTACTTATTTATTTGACACACAGAGAGAGATCACAAGTAGGCAGAGAGGCAGGCAGAGAGAGGGGGAAGCAGGCTCCCAGCTGAGCAGAGAGCCTGACATGGGGCTCGATCCCAGGACCCTGAGATCATGACCTGGGCTGAAGGCAGAGGCTTAACCCACTGAGCCCCCCAGGCACCCCGATATGTGTGTATTTTAAAGATTTTATTTATTTATTTGAGAGAGAGAGATCACACAGGGAGAGGGAGAGAGAGAAGCAGACTTGTCGCTGAACAGGGAGCCCAATGTGGGGCTCAATCTCAGGAACTGAGATTATGACCTGAGGTGAAGGCAGATGCTTAACAGACTGAGCCATTCAGGCGCCCCAGAATATGCATGTGTTTTAAAAGAAGGAAACCCCTTTTGGGTCCCATCGATTACATTTCCAGTTAAATATTCTGTTCCCAGGGACATGCATCATTTTGGTATTTCAGAATCTGCCCAAGTGCCTGGTCTGGACGAGTTGGGTCATATACTCGTCAGTTCAAATTGAAGTTAAAATCCCCCTAATGAATCGTCTCAAAAAAAGTCACATTATCAGACTGATCACTGAGAATTCTTGTAAGGAATGGATTGGCTCTGTGGTTCTTGGGTTCCGTTGGGTTGGTTGTGGTGTGTTTTGACTACATGGATATATGGGAAGGATAACTCTGATTTAGGATTCTTTTTTTTTTTTTAACATTTTATTTATATATTTGAGAGAGAGAATGAGAGAGATCATGAGTGCAGGGGGGGTGGGCGGTGGTGTGTGAAGGGTAAGGGAGAAACAGGCTCCCAGCTGAGCAGGGAGCCCGATGCGGGGCTCCATCCCAGGACCCTGGGATCATGACCTGAGCCACAGGCAGACACTTAACTGACTGAGCCCCCCAGGAGCCCCTGATTTGGGATTCTTTCATCAGCAATTACAAAATGAAAAATTGACTTTTCCTTCATGGATTTAAAAAGCAGCTGGTGGACAGGACTGCCATTCCCAGTTCATTCTTTGGGTATTTGTCTGTTGACTTTTATTTTTAATTTTAAGATTTATTTATTTATTTGAGAGAGAGAGAACGAGCGGGAGGGGCAGAGGGAGAGGGAGTGAGACTCTCAAAAAGACTCCACGCTCAGCACGGAGTCCCAACATGAGGCTCGACCTCACAACTCTGAGATCATGAAACCAGAGCCGAAACCAAGAATCGGACTCTTAATTGACTGAGCCATCCAGGCACCCCTGTCTTTTGCCTTCTGGTCTTGGGTTGTCCTCTTTTAGCCTCAGCCATTTCGCTGTGGGGAAATACAGTGTTTAAGTGTCCCTCACTTGAGAGTGAATGGAAAGGCAACCAGAAATCATTCTCGTGTTCTTACAAGGGAATCAGAATTAACATTCTCAGATGTGTATCTGTGCTGATGGTTTCAGTAGACACAGGGCAGACCTTGGATCCTGAGTCTGTCCACTTCTGGAAGCTGTGCAGGGCAGGCAAAAGCATGGAAAACAAAAAGGCCCACAAACCATAGCCTTGATGATATTACGAGACAGAGAAAACTCAGAAAATCAAATTACTTATGAGCTGGTGGGGATCAGCGGGAACTGGCCACATCGGTGACATTGATTTTTAACAACAACATGGACATTTAACCTAATCAAAGAGGAAACAGGGAGAGAGCTCGATGCAAAATAAGAAAGGAGGAAATTGCTAAAAGAACTATAATTTTTTTAAACCATGAGAGACTAGTTTGCATGACTTTTGCAAGTAAATTAAAAAAAAAATCTGGAAGGAATAAATAACGTTCTAGGAAAATAAGTTACCAAAACATACCTTGGAAAACATAGAAGGGCTAACTGGACCTAATTCCTTAGAAGAAATAAGAAAAGTTTATTTGAAAAATCTCAAAAAAGCACTAATCCTTGCATGTTCCAAAGGAGAGTTTTGTAGAACCTTTAAAATGTAATTCCAAGGCTGTCGTACTGTTGCAGAGACCAGAAAAAGGAAAATTTCCACATTCTGTTTAGGACTAAGCAAAAGTAGAACATCGGTACCAAAATCCGACAGAGTTTGTACAAGAGAAAAAGAAAGTTGCAGACAAATCTCTCTTATTAACTTCTGTCTTATAATCCAGAAGAATATATTGTGGACCACATTCAGCAGCACATAAAAGATAATACATTTGGTAGACTATGGAATTGAATATAATCTATCAGGTAGACAAATCAAGTTGGGGAACACCGTGTAGAGAATGCTAGAACATGAAATGACGGAGGCTAGAAGGGGAAGATAAGAGTGTGCATTTGTATCTGGACAAGGACAAACAAGGACAGTACCAAGGACTGTTGCCTCGTCTTGGGGGAGGTGGTGGTAATGGGTGGGGAGGGAACAGAGCGGAAGTAAGATTTTTCTCGATATCCTTTTCATATTGTTTGATTCCTCTTAACTGTTGCATATTCAGAAAATAAAACTCAATTTGAAGAAAAGAACTGTGTTTCTGTCCTTTTTTTGGAGGGGGAGGGGAGCGATTGTCATGGTCTGTGCTGGATTTCTTGTTTGTTTAATTCATTCAACAAATATTTATTGCTAGACAACGTTCTAGGCTTATTTGTTAATCACTTGAAAGTATTACAGATTTTGTTTTTGCCTCCCTGGGTCAGAGGCAACATTTTCTAGTTTCTCCTTAATTGTAGGCATTAAAATCAAAGTCTTCAGCTGTAGAGGTTAGGGACGATTTCTAGGAACCGTGGATAATTCCATAAACTGTACCTATAGCCTTTATACTTTGCCTACCTTGGTTCCACATGGAGAACCTTAACAACTCCATGGTGGTTTCTCCAGACACATGGAGAGATACACATGGAATCATGTTAAAAGAAGGATGGCACTATAAACCAGTTGCATGCAGAAGCCAAGTGCCCTCACCTGAATCACGTAGTCTGGTTTTTCTCACGTGTCTGTCTCCTCCGATCACCGCATGCTTTCTTTTCCTAACAGAGAAATCATTGCTCTAGTGGCTAAGGTGATTCCGATCTCTGCTGTTTCCCATCTGTTTGAAGCTCTGGCTGTAAGTATTCTGCAATATTCCCTTTATTTTTTTTAAAGATTTTACTTATTTATATTTGAGAGAGCAAGCTCACCAGTGAGGGGTGGGCAGTGGCAGAGAGAAAGAGAGAGGGAGAAGCAGATCTCCCGCTGAGCAGAGAGCCCGATGAGGGACTCGATCCCAGGACCCTGGGATCGTGCCCTGAGCCAAAGGCAGACGCTTAACAGACTAAGCCCCCCACGTCCTGCGATACTCCCTTTAAGCAACTTTATGATCTAAATGTTCCTTCTGTTGGTGGTAAATTTAAGCAGAAAAGAGCAGCTGGGGCGGGGGGCAGGTAGGTGATACTGAATATTTTTAGCGTATTCACTTGACAAAGAAACTGGTCTGTGATGATGGAATTATAAGTCCGAGTCTTTCGGGGACGGGACGTGCTCAGGGATGGCTAGTCTTTCCAAAGACTTTGGGGAACGTTCTCACGGATGGATGGTTTCTGCCTACAGTGCACAGGTGGAGGCATTCTGCGGGGGAGCGGTAACCAGAAGGCTGGGGCCATTGTCAACACCATTGGGTATTATGTGATTGGTCTTCCCATCGGGATTTCGCTGATGTTTGCAGCCAGAATGGGAGTGGTTGGTAAGCCTTCACTACGGGCAGGCGGGTCTCTCACTCATGGGCCCCGGAAATGACCGCTGGAACTGTAGGCTTTTTTGGGAGACTTGGCTTTGGAAGTTCATGCCTCTCCTACCCTGCTGGGTCCTTTTCCACACTGACATACTTGAGTGGAGCCGAGTGACCTTTCTGCCTCCTCTCCCTGTCCTGTGTCATCAAGTTCTCACTTCTTCCAAGCTGGTGACAGCAGGAGGGCTGAAAAAGCATTCAGAAGTGTACCTTTGGTGGCCCCAGTTCAGTCCTTTTATGGTGGGACCCTGGGGGTGAGTTGAAGCCATTATAAAATTGGCCCTATTGGAGTGTGTGGTGTGAGGCAGGAGAAGCCAGGGATCGGCCCTGCTGTGATTCTTAACAGAACTTCTGACAACATACGTGGTATGGTGGGTATATACGTTCTAGATCGTGCCTGCTGTGGCTTAGCCCATGTGGGACCTGGAGCTGTGCTCTGGAGGTCACCTTCATGGCCATTCTGCACCTTCCCTCTCCTGCCTTAAGCCGTGTGTCTTCTAGACACCCCCGAAGGGCATGGGTGGGATGTGTGTGAACATCACAGAAGGCAGGGGACTCTATCACCTTACCACCTGTGGAGGAAAGAACTTAGTCCACAGGGTCTGGAATGACAAGAGCTGACCTTTAAAAGAGTAGGGAAACAGAAAACTGCTCAGCTTTGATTTCTAAAATAATAATTTGGAATACATTGGCAGTTTATAGAAGATTCTGTTAAAACCCGGACACGTTATCTTTGGGTGAAATAGTGAGAGACTTATTTACCCATCAGTACTTGGCAGGCCCCAAGAGGTGAGAAGTCATCCCAATATCTCGAGTGACCTCCCCATCCCATTACACTGCCTGTTGTTCTCAAAGTCAATAATATTTTAATAAAAAATAGGGGAGATGTTCCAAGATTGGAGTTGCCAACGCAAAGTTCACTGGACTTTCATTGTGGTGCAAAAAATGACTTAGCTGAATTTCTGGCATTACTCATATTTTGGATTTGCCGGTGGCAAAGCTAAGGGAAATATTGGAAAAATCTACTTAAAAGTACGGATCTAAAAAAGCAAAAATAAGAAAATAAATTTAAAAGAGAAATAAAAACACAGATCTACCTGTGTTCCCAGTGCTGGACGAGGCCCACTTGCTCATTTGACAAAAGCCTACCTAGTATGCGCAGAGTCAAGGGAGTTAAGACTCCCTTAAGGGAAGTGCTGTGGTAGAAAATTCCAGTTACAAAGTTCGTTGCTGGAATGTGTAGCATGGTGGCTATAGTTAGTAATACTGTATTGCACGTTTGAAGGTTACAGAGGGAGCTCTCAAAAGTTCTCATCCTCAGAAAAAGAACTTTGTAACTATGTGTGGGGAAAGGTACTGAGATTTATTGTGATCGTTCTGTGATATATATGAATATTGAATCATGATGTCACACGCTCGAAACTAATTGTTATATCTCAATTTAAGAAATGTTGGGAGCTCTGGGCAGGTGAGCGCTCTGTGAGGAGACTGTAGTCTGTCCCTGCCACTCACCTCTTCCAGAAAATAAAAAAAGTTTAAAACTAACTCAAATTTCAAATACTGTGTCACCATTGGTAGGATATGCAGTGGCGAGCATCACACCAGTTACCCTTAATACCCTCACGGGCAGCTGCCACAAATCAGGAAGTCCCCATCTTGATCTCCTGGGGAGGCTTTTCAAATACATCCATTCCTGGGGGATTCTGACACGCACCTTATTTTGGGATTCCTACGTTGAATCCAATAAATATTTTAAACGGTATATAATGAATTTCCTGGAAATGTAACCCATCACTTTCAAATTAGGTAGAGATATCTAGTTACTTTCTGTTTAGGGTGATTAGGGTAAGCTGGTAGTTTTTATGGATCAGGAACACTGGATTTGAACGAGAAAGCATATATGTATATATATATATTTGCTTTTATTTTTTTTTAAAGATTTTGTTTATTTATTTGACAGGGATCACAAGTAGGCAGAGAGGCAGGCAGAGAGAGAGGGGGAAGAAGGCTCCCCGCCGAGCAGAGAGCCCGAATGCAGGACTCAATTCCAGGACCCTGGGATCATGACCTGAGCCAAAGGCAGAGGCTTTAACCCACTGAACCACCCAGGCGCCCCTGTATTTGCTTTTATTAGTCCATTATAGGAATGGCAGGTGGCTATCAAATTTATTCTTCTAAATATTGGGCTGATCACTCCTGAAACATGTGACATGGGTGTGACTGCTGGTATCAAGGAGCAGATCCGTAAACTATGCACCAAGTCTGCTACCCGAACCTGTAAACCCTGTCTTGCCACCTTGCCCTTATCGAGATCTCAAAGGCTGTGGAGATAAACCGAGACCAGCCAAATGGGAAAAGCAAAGGCTGTTTATTCTGAGCTTGCCCCAGCAGGGGACTTGACCACCATCACTAGAGTTTTGGCAGAGACCCCAAGGCAGGCCGAGGAGTGGGAGTGCTTCATGGTGGAGAACAGGAAAGCGTCAGGTGGACCCTGATGGATGCCGGTGGCCTGGGAAAGAGGTGGGCTAACTGAAGTGGGGGGTCCTGTGTGGCTGATCAGGCGGGGTGCAGCTTTGGTTTTCTCTGCTTGACCCTAAGCTGGAAGCAGGGACAGAAACGGAGGAAGCTGTCAGTTATTGATGGCGTCCTGGCCATTTGGGATCAGCTGTTACGGAAGTTATTGTTGAGCTCAGTGCAGTAATCCTAGACATAGAAGTCTGGGCTCCCGCAAGTCTGATGGGTAGCAGGCTCGCTTTTGGGGTGCTTATGGGGGGTGCTCGCTTTTGGGGGGTTTCCTGGGTATGTTGCTACAGGTGGGGTTCATATTTCTCTGATACATGGTGTGGCCATTGTCTGTGTATTCAGTGTCTCAGTCTCTTTTCAGGGAAAACTAGAGACTCCGGGAATTCAGGGAAGGCTGGAGAGCCAGATCTTTACCACTTGGGATTATAAAGTCATCTCATGGTCCACTGTATTGCAAGATCTTCTCGAGCCCCTTGATGGTGTCCATCATGGTGGTCATCCTCTAGGAGAATGGCTGCACAGAAACATTCCAGACTTGGGAGAAAATGCAGCCAGCCAGCCTCACAAGCCCTGATAGGGTCCCTTCCAACAAGGTTCAGGAGCAGTTTCCCTCTGCTGTCTCTTCTAGTAGATGAAATGTCCTGGCTAAAGATGATAAAGAAGTTATTGAGGAAGATGTTGTGGGAAAGGCAGGCTTAAGCGTCGGCGGTAGGACCCTGGTGAGAAGACTTGGCGTGTAGCCAGTCAGTCTGGTCAGTCTGGTGTTGGCTGAAATCCCTAGACATAGGCCTTCCAGTTCCGAATGCATAGGGGCCGCTGATGTGTCCTTGCGGGTGGTGACTGTCTGTTGTATATGGTGTGCAAAGACTATAGGGAGTACCTTTGGCCAAGGGAGCTCAAGGGATGCTTAAAGTTTTACTAATTTCAGTTCAAGGAGGACATTGGTCTTTTCTCCTTTTCCAGGACTTTTCCCACCCATGGCGGGTGAGGAGGACAGGATCGTTTTTGAGTGAGGGGCAATATCTTACAGAGTTTTTTTTATATGGTTCTTGTAGTGGGTGTGTCTCAGTCACTTGATAAAAAACTTGGAATGTCTCAGGTTGGAAACAAAAAATCAAGCATCTTTTTAGTGATGGTGAGGGTTGGAGCTTTTCAGCAAGGACATGCTTCAGTCTATCCTAGAAAGAGACACCGTTTTAGTAATTTAGTAATAAAATAAGTTTTATTACTAAACTTATTTATTTAAGATTTTATTTATTTATTTATGACAGAGATAGCAAGAGAGGGAACACAAACACGGGGGAAGTTGAAGAGAGAGAAGCAGGCTCTGTGCTGAGCAGGGAGCCCGATGTGGGACTTGATCCCAGGACCCCAGGATCATGACCTGAGCCGATGGCAGACGTCTAACCGACTGATCCACCCAGGCATCTCGTAATGTTGATGTTTTATGATGGCCTCTTTGAACCCTCCAGAGACTGATCTTTTGGGGCCTCAGATAGGACCAGAACCTGGTTAAAGCCTCTTTTCTGACATCAATGATATGGGAGCGTTTCCTTCAGCACCCACATTTTCTTGTCTGACTGGGGCCACGGCTTTAGAACAGCCTCCCATCTGGGTAATAGGAGTGTATTTAAAAGCTTGTCGGGGTGCCTCAGTGGTACAGTTGCTTAAGCTCCCGACTCTTGGTCTTGGTTCCTGTTCTCAGGGTTGTGAGATCGAGCCCCACGTCTGGCTCTGAACTCAACATGGGGCTCGCTTGGGCTTCTCTCTCCCTCTCCCTCTGTCCCTCCTGCTCATGTTTCTCTCTCTCTCAAATAAATAAATCTAAAAAAAAAAGTTCCTTAATTTGCTGTCCATCTGTGATGGGGGTTCCAGCACAAGAGAGCAACCCGCTGTGTTTCCCAAGCACCCCCAAACCAGGGGCTGCTTTTCCAAAGCGTGAATCTGCTGTCTGCACAGATGTTCCCTCTCTGGTCTTTGGTGGCTTTAGGAAGCACAGCAGGGTCCGCCGTCTGTGCTGATTGCAGGGGGAAGACTGTGGTCTGAAGGAGAGCTCACACTAGGGCTAGCACATCCTGGCCAATAACCCCCAGCTCCCGAGCTAAGGCACGACTCACCAGCGAAATAACATGAGGTCAGAGTCGTCAAGAGGGCTCTCGGATAAAGCTGAGTGAGGTACGGAGAGTTCCCTGGCACAGGGAAGACAGCCACCAGGCTCGCCTTCTTCTGGGAGTTTAGGAGAGTGACAGGACTCTCAGGCTGTTGGGGTGAACAGTAGTGGGAGAGGAGGGAACACACAGCAACAGAATCTTCTAAGCAGTTAATCCGCTGGCTGAAGAATGCTGTGTGTTCCCAGCAGTGGGATCTGGGGTGGGATTTGCGGGGGAGCCTAGAACTCGCTCATCAGAAGTTTTTGATGCATAGAGAACCTGTTGCCTGAACCTGAGAGGTTGAGTTAAAACCCCAGGGGCTTATCCAGATGGCTCAGGAGCAAACCGACAAAATGGGGTTTTTGGTAGTTAGGGATGCCTGGGCTTGAAGGAGGCTGTTGAGGAGCCTTCGTCAGATTCCAGAAGCCCGGGGCCTCCTGAGCAGAGGGTCTGTCCCTATGGACTTCGTCAGTTCATAAAGACGGATTGCGATCTCAAGGAAATTTGACACCCGTTGTCTACAATATCCTGCTAAGCCTAGAAATCCCAGACTGAGGTCAGACCCTAAATGTGCTGTGTTCTGGCAAAATCGTGATTTTGCTTTTGAAACGAGGTCCCTTTTGTGCAAAGGCTACGAACCTGAGAACAGGATTTGTAAGGCGGGCTTCCTCATTTTCTGCACCAGGAGCTCTGGTGCTTAATGTAGGAGATCGGGATCACAAGGGAAATTTAGATGTTTACAGCTCTTGATGGGAGGAACTGACAAAAATAAGAGGGGGCCTGACTTTACAGACCCACTGTTGTCGTCCGCAGCGAAAGCGAAGAGTTGTTGGCTATCCCGGTGTAGAGGCAGCTGCACAAGGCAGACCAAAGACCCGCCTTGTTGTAGCAAGTGGCTTCAGGCAGAATTGATGTCAGGATGGTATTGGGTTAAGTATTAGCGGCAAGTGAGGGATCACAATTTCGTTGATGACCCTGAGGTCTTGGTAAATCAGTAGCCTCATTCATTTGATTTTTTTTTTTATTTTGTTTATCTATTTATTTGACAAGAGATCACAAGTTGGTAGAGCGGCAGGCAGAGAGAGAGAGAGGGAAGCAGGCTCCCTGCTGAGCAGAGAGCCCGATGTGGGACTAGATCCCAGGACCCCGAGATCATGACCTGAGCCGAAGGCAGTCGCTTAACCAACAGAGCCACCCAGGCGCCCAATTTCCCAATTTTTTTTTTTTTTTTTTTTTTTTTTTTTTGTGGCAGCTACAAGGGCCCATCTGGGGAATGAGACAACCTCTGGCTAAGACTTTCAGCTCTGGGTTTGATTCCCTTTGTTGGCCTTGAAGGGATGTTGAGGAAGGTTAGGGAGCATTGGTAGGAGCGATCTGAACTTTTATGCATTTTGCTGCAAATACTTGGCTCTGTCAGTAGAATATCAAGGCCGTGGAGTATCAGGTACAGGGTCAAGTTCCTTGTCTGGAACCCACCATCCAACGCAATAGAAGAGGCGAGATCTATCCAGAGCGGCCCTGACTTGATTATGAATACAAGAGTCGTCTGATGGGACGCCTGGGTGGCTCAGTGGGTTAAGCCTCTGCTTTTGGCTCGTGTCGTGATCCCAGGGTCCTGGGATCCAGCCCCATGTTGGCCTCTCTGCTCAGCGGGGAGCCTGCTTCTCCCCTCCACCCCCCTGCCTCTCTGTCTACTTGTGAGCTCTCTCTGTCAAATAAATAAATAAAATCTTTAAAAAAAAAAAAAAAGAGTCGTCTGGGACCTCTAGACCTAGTTCCCTCCGCTGTGCCTTTGATACCATAATTTTGTCTGCAAAGTCCGTCTCTGCCTGTGACATTCCGCAGGGCTGTTAATCACAGCGCAGGAAGGCGTGTTTCTTAGTCGAGGGTTCAAGGGTCTCAGTTAAAGACTGGGAGATTGGGGAAACCTGTGGCGTATTTGGAATGCCAGCCACCTGTGTGGTACGTGGAGGCTGAGGCTGAAGGTGGGCAAGGGTGGCAGGTGTCCACCGGGCTTCGATGAGAATGACCGCCTATATTTACAGTTAATTCCCCTGGAGGGTCTAATGAGTGCTTTTGGCTTCCTTGAGGACTCTCGCTGATCCAAAATGAGAGACTCTGCCTTGCCTTGGTTTATCTTTTTTTTTTTTTTTTTTTTTTGACAGAGCGGGATCACAAGTAGGCAGAGAGGCAGGCAGAGAGAGAGGGGGAAGCAGGCTCCCCGCCAAGCAGAGAGCCCGATGCGGGACTCGATCCCAGGACCCTGAGATCATGACCTGAGCCGAAGGCAGAGGCCTAACCCACTGAGACACCCAGGCGCGCCCTGGTTTATCTTTCTTAGCATCCTTCTCTTTATAGTGTCTACCAGTGTCCTTGTAGTAGGTGGCTGGCCGGGGGGTGTGGAGGGTAAGGGATGGGCCCCCCAGTTGTCTCTCTGCGGGGCCCCTCGTTTACTTTGGGTCTCATCTCCTCTTTGTCCCAAAGTCCTTTCCAAATGTTCTGCCAGGTGTTGTCATTTGGCGAAAGGGTTATTTTTCATATCAGGTTCTGTTTTCTTTTTTTTTTTTTTTTTTTAAGATTTTATTTATTTGTCAGAGAGAGAGGGAGAGAGAGCGAGCACAGGCAGACAGAATGGCAGGCAGAGGCAGAGGGAGAAGCAGGCTCCCCGCCAAGCAAGGAGCCCGATGTGGGACTCGATCCCAGGACGCTGGGATCATGACCTGAGCCGAAGGCAGCTGCTTAACCAACTGAGCCACCCAGGCGTCCCTCAGGTTCTGTTTTCATATGAGGGCTCCGATTTCAGTTTTCACTTTCTCACGGATGTAAGGAGACGAAAGGGCGGCGGTGGGGACACATCAGCACTTTCTCGGACTCCGGAACGGCAGGTGGCACAGGCAGGCAGAAAACCAGAGAAGAATGCTCTCTGGATCAAAGCCAAGGTCTCAGGACCCAAAACTGCAACAGGAGAACCTTGTCTGGTTCTTGGGGTAACCTGTAGCAAGAATTGGTCCAAATGGGCCCCCATTGGGTGAGAACCACAAACTCACAGGTCTAGGAGATGGGCGCATGTAACAGGCCATGTCCTGGCCTCTAACTCTCCTTCTGTGATAACATTTGACCCAACACTACAAAAAGAGAGAACAAAGCACAGCAAAAGGGATGAAAAGGAACCCCGATTCCACCAAGGATGGCAAACACATGGGAAGCAGTGGTACCCAGGCACCAAACCAATGAAGATACAGCCTAGGCAGTCACAGTAGAGAGACTGGGGTGTGGACCCCAACTTATCACGTCCCCTTGGACTGCACAAGGGGCCTCTCTGGGTCCCACATCTGGTTGGACACTGGCGTCCATGATGTTTGGTCATGTAGGCCAGGTCTCGGGGGGCCTCCATGATGGGCTGTGGAAATAAAGACCAACCGGATGCGAAAAGCAAAGGCCATTTATTCTTTGGTAGAGACCCAGAGGCAGGCAGAGCGATGGTTGCTGTAGGCCATGGATCAGTGTTCTGTTTTTGCCTACGGTCTGACAGTTGCCCATTGGTATGTTCACTTTCTCACTCTTGACCAAAGAAACCCTCCTAGCTTGGGGCCTCCCTCTGTGTCCGGTGTGGGTTTTCTAGGTGGAGTGTGATGGGACCTTGGGATCCACGTGGCCCTTTCCCATTTTCCATTCCCACTCAGCCTCTCCTTTGGTGTGGTCCTCTCTCTCTGCGGACAACCCTGTCCTGGGAGCTCTGGAAGTCTGTGCCCAGAGCCAGTGAGGGCCTGCAGGAAGTGCCAAGGGAGAGAACGTACAAGGCGGATGTTGTCTTCTGCATTTTGAACATATTAGCTGAGGAAAATAGAACAGAGCAGTTTAGAAGTAGGAGATAGTTTGTCCTGGGAATCTCCTCTCCTTATAACTGGTGAATAGTTAGATTCCCAAAGACCAAAAAAGGCTCTGAATGTCAGTTCTGAGATCCAGAAGGCCTGGGCAGTGACTTGCCCTGGGCCTCCCAGAACCTTCTGGAAACCAAAGGAGAGAGCACGTGTGTGGCTCACTGTGGGTTCCACCCTGGGGTCATGAAAGCAGATTCTCAGAAGTGACAGGGGACCAGCTTATTCCCCAGGGACGCCTGGTTTTCCACGGAATTAACCTCTATTACATATTTTCACTTCTAGGTCTGTGGCTGGGGATCATCATTTGTTCCATCACACAATCTCTGTGTTTTCTCGGCTTTATTGCTTGGCTAAATTGGAAAAAAGCTTGTGAAGAGGTAACTGCTCATTGCTGGCCGGGTAAAAATTCCTGACCTAGAAAACAAAATCAGCTCAGGCGCTCTCATTTCGGAAGGGGCTTTCCCCTTTTATCACCAGTGCTACTTTATTGTTTTAGCTGCATTTAATTTGGATGTGAAGGGCCAGATGACCCTGGATATTACCTGTTTATCCATTCCCCTTTGTTTTATTCAGTGAATTAAAAAAATAGGGGTTCCTTTCTTTCTTGTGTCCCGTAGTAAGCTACCAGCCTTGTGCCTGGAAAACCAATTTCAGGACAAGATCTGGACTGAAGAGACAGTGGGATACCAGCATATTCATCCTGATACTGTTTTTATGATCCCCAAATATTTCACGAGGATGCCTGCGTGTGTCTGTCTCTCCAACTTGCTAGGGTCAGTGTGGGTCTGAAATAGATAGTAGGTAAAGAGATAAAGGGAAGGGAAAGAAAGGAATTTTATGATTCTGGGTCACGCATTCCCCTTAATGTTGTGGTTTTCCATCCGTCCTTCCCCCACCCAGAGACCCCATGTCAATCATTCGGAAAGACGATTGCGTACTTGTAAACTAGAGAAGCTCCAATCACATGTCAGTTAAAGAAAATGGCTTGGTTTTTCCTAGGCCGAGTGGTCAAGTCAGTTTCCTAACACTATGGTAAATAAAGCCTCATGAATTTACTTCGAGTTTCATCTTCTAGGCTCAGATCCATGCCAATCTGAGACTAAACACGGTCCAGGATGAGCCTGCAGCTGCCTGCCAGGACCCAGGTATGGAAAACTGCTTGGCTCTGGGAACAGGTCCCTCTCCGGGTGGTCCTGGAAGGGGCCGTCGGTGGGACACAAACAGATTGGCTGCCATGAGTGCCCCCTGAACTCGGGCAGTTAAGTTTCAGAAACAAATGATAAAATCACACCAATTTGAGGTCAACAGACTTGGAAGTTTGTTTGCTTTGCATTCCGGGTATTAAGACGCTGCTCTAGATGGTTCGAGGCTGCTAGTCATCCATGCCTTGGATGTAAGCATCTCACAGGCATTTCTAATGCTTGATCCTGCCTGGGGACCCTTATCTTGGAGACAGACGTAAGTTTATGTTCGTGGGGTTCCCCCATTCCCCAGGCCAACACATAGGTGGGCTTTAAACAGATTATTATTATTATTATTTTGAGATTTATTTATTTGACAGAGAGAATAAGTAGGCAGAGAGGCAGGCAGAGGGAGAGGGAGAGAAGCAGGCTCCCTGCTGAGCGGAGAGCCCGATGAGGGACTCGATCCCAGGACCTTGAGATCATGACCTGAGCCGAAGGCAGAGGTCCAACCCACTGAGCCACCCAGGCGCCCCCAGATTATTGTTTTTAACTATCGTTTCTGGGGAGCAGGGTGCAACTGTGGGTATCGTTTTCCTCCGTCCCATTATGAACCCCCCCCCCCCCATTTCTAGTTCCTTGGGCAGCGAGTCATGGACTCAGACTTGTTCCTTGCTGCTTTCTAACAGAATCCCTTTGAGCTCAATGGCTGGTGAATTACAGCTCCCACTAGTTTTCATTCATCTCGTGTGGTCCCCTACGTGCCTGGTTCCAGATCTTGTATTTGAACACTGTGGGTAGAAGTAATTGGAGGCCGACGACGATATCGGTCTTCAGAGAGGATTTTCCTTTGCTTCTGTCAAACTCTTAGGGTTACCAGCAGCGTAGGGCGGTTTCAACAACCCAGACTCCTGGCCCGTCCAGCTGACTTGGCGGTAACTGGGGTGAGGGCTGGTTGGCTTCTGGTCCATCCTTAATTCCTGGATGCAGCCCTTGAGGTCCAACCTGAAGTCAGCGGGGTTTACCTGGGTAGGGACTGAACTCCCGAAAGCATCGGTCCATCCCGATGGAGAACTCTCAGGTCCAAAGAGGCTCCAAAGGCTGGCTCCCAGCTCTGGGCCTCCAGTTTCCCCTAGATCTTGCCCTGACGATTTTTCATTACGTTGGTAAGCACTCTTGACACCTTCGAGATGATACTTTTCACTTATCTTGTCCAGCTTTTGTAATTGTCTTCAGAGGATGGTTGGTCCAAGTTTTCTCTTGTCTGCCATTTATAAAAGCAGAGTACCAGTACTTCCTAGTACCTCATGCTGCTGTCTTGAGAGGCAAGTGAGCTTCGTACATGTGAAGGGCTGAGAACGATGCCTGATGTGGAGAAAACACATTTTTTAAAAAAGATAATTTATTTGAGAGAGAGCATGAGGAGGGGGGAGGGGCCAAGGGAGAGGGAGAAGCCCACTCCCCTTCCCCCCAGGAGAAAGTATCTTGTGAGAGTGAGAGCTGGTGTTACTCTGAAATTGCTTTCTCTCACAACTAATACCCACTATGCGTACTAAGAGGTCTGATGCCCATCTTATTCTTTTTTATTTATTTATTTTTAAATTTATTTATTATTTATTTTTTTAAGATTTTATTTATTTATCCGACACAGAGAGAGAGAGATCACAAGTAGGCAGACAGGCAGGCACAGAGAGAGAGAGGAGGAAGCAGGCTCCCCACTGAGCAGAGAGTCCGACTCGGGGCTAGATCCCAGAACCCTGGGATCATGACCTGAGCTTAAGGCAGAGGCTTAACCCACTGAGCCACCCAGGCGCCCTGCCCATCTTATTCTTGTTCCGTTAGGTTAACTGCCTTTATTTTTCCCTCAGGAAGTGTGGGAAGACAACATACATCTGTCACGATCCCGGGGGATGCTCAGTAGGCCTTCTGACTCGATCCACATCTCTCTTCAGTTCTGGGGATGCCCTTGGATTCTTTCTTTGGTTATTTTCTCCTCTGTTAGCCTTGTTCTCCTTCGGGACTGCTCATTAGACGAGTGTTGGCCCCTGAAAACTTCCCCTATGAACCTTCATTTTGAGAGGCCTCATCTTTCTCTAGTTCCTGTGGGGTGGGGGGCGAGCTCCCTAGAAGACCCAGGCAGACAACAGTAGGATCCAGTCAGAGTTTGTGAGTGAGTGAGCGGAGAGGGACTCTGAAATGGAATTTCTCTTATGTATCCAAGGTAGCAACTTCTTCCTGAATAAACTTGCCTCTGACAAGTAACACGTATATATGGCAACTTTTTTTTTTAAGATTTTATTTATTTATTTGACAGAGAGAGATCACAAGTAGGCAGAGAGGCAGGCAGAGGGAGAGGGGGAAGCAAGGCTCCCTCCTGAGCAAGGAGCCCAATGTGGGACTCGATCCCAGGACCCTGGGATCATGACCTGAGCCGAAAGCAGAGGTGTAACCCATTGAGCCACCCAGGCTCCCCTCTATGGCATCTTGTATACCTAGGGAAAAAAAAATCCTTTTGGACTGCTAACTAAGTTCCTTTTTCCCTTTAGGGGGACCTGGGAGCCATAGAGGAATTTCAGTGAGAGATGTAAGGAGAAAACACAAGACCCGATTGGACCAGCACGGGTGCCAAGAAGATGTTCAGGCCCAGCCAAGGGACACGACTCACCTGACTGGGAAACATTTGGTTCTGTGGCGGGGGCTTCTGCTCCTGGGGGTCATTTTGGTCTTGATCGTAGGGATTTTAGTGAGAGTGTATGTCAGAGTTGAGTGATAGGCAAAAGAGAGAGAGAGAGAGTCAGGACAAGTGATACTTCTGAGCTGACAAATAATTCATAGGCCCCACGGTGGGAATTTGTTTTCAGTTAAGTTAGTTTCAACTGGGCTCATGGGTTTGGAGAATCACGAGTTCCAAGTTACGTTTTCTCATAAAGAAAAGGAACTAAGGTACAAATTATGTTCCTGTCCAAGACAATGTCGGAAAGTTCAGAGTGACGATGATTCAGTTCATGTGCCACTGTCTTAACCAAGGACCACTGTGTACTGACTGCATTCAGGTGCGGCTTTACCAGTTACTTGTTATGCTGAATGTTTCTTTAGTTAAAACCCCTGTACTGAGTGCTTCAGGTTTCCTACTGTCTTGAGTTATTTAAAATATATTTTGCACTATATCTTTCCTCGTGCCTTCAGTGATTATGCAACGGGCCAATGGCATTCGTTAATATGTAGATCACAGGAGCTGTGAGCAGTGGCGTCGCTTGAGAAACCGGAAGGGGAGAAGACGTAGATTAAGCAGAAAGGAGTCAGAGGGCATTGATGAGCAAGCTTCCTGTCTTAAAATCTGTTTTAATTTTGAATTTGTTTTAAATTTGTTAAACTTGTTAAAATTTGTTTAAAATTTGAATACAGGGTTTGAAGAGCTCATTCAGGCAAAGGAAGAAGTCAGACGGTTTCTCATGTTGATAGAAGGGGGCGGGGGGGATTGTTAAATTGGAAGGTAGAAGAAATGAAGAGGGGGGTCTAGGAGAGGGGAGGCTGGGTCTTGGGCGGGCCCTTTTCATCTTCTGTTTGGGTCTTTGTCTTTAAGAAGGTGCCCCAGCTGGGCACCAGGGTGGCTCAGTTGGTTAAGCATCTGCCTTTGGCTCAGGTCATGATCCCAGGGTCTTGGGAGCAAACCCTACATCCACATCAAGCTAAGCAGGGAGCCTGCTTCTCTCACTCCCTCTGCCAGCCACTGCCCCCACTTGGGCTCTCTGTCAAATAAAATCTCAAAAGAAAAAAAAAGGCACCCCAGCTTTGGTGGCAAGCATGGTGTACCCAGGAAGTTTTGTGTGGTTCTGTCTCAAAAGGGTGAGGTTTCAGTGAATGCTCCCTTCTTCCCCTGGGGCCTTGGAGAATAGTTAGGGAAGTCTTTGGAGCTGTGACAGTCCAAACCATTGCTCATTCCTCTCAGGGGAATCAGGGCACGAGACCTCAGTAGTGGCCTTGGATTAAGCAGTGGACACGTAGAACTTAGGACTCAGCCTTCCCGGGGTGGGGCCCACCCCTTAGCGCAGCACACTGGGTGCTTGGATGGATACAAAGAGCTAGGCCTGGTCTTTGCCCTGGGAGAACAGATAGTAGACCAGATCTGAAGTTTGCTACCACGAGTAAAAAGTACCCAGCGCCACCTTAAGGCATCTCCACCTAAAAACGCTTGCTTCTTCCTAGAGGATTTTTTTTTTTTTTTTTTTTTTTTTTTTTTTGCGGTGACCAAGATAAAGGCGGCCCTGAAGGTTGGGCCCCCCGCAACATCCCCTCTCCCCGCTCTCCTTAGCAAGTTCATACACACCCTCTTCATTTGGTCCCTGGACACCTACTCCCTAGCCTTCTAGAGACTTCTCACGGAGTCTGCCCTTCTTCGTCCGGTAGGAGACCCCGGGATGGGGGGTAGGGAGGCTTATCTCCCGGTCCCAACCTGCCTGCGAGGAGCGCACCGCACCCCCAGGGGATACTTGAACACACCCGTAACCCGAGGCAGAGGGAGGGGTCACTTGAAAGGGCAGCAGCGGGCTCCGGAGGTGCGCAAAGGGGAATTACGAATTCGCCCTCTCCAACCCCCGCCTCCGCACATTTCACTGTAACGACCCACGTTCTCCTTTGTCCTCGCGAGGCCCCCAGCCCCCCACTCCACGCGGCCTCCAGCTCCTTGCACCGTGGTTGGCCCCCTCGGGGTCCCCGTCTCCAGCCTCAGGGGGTCTGCGGACCGCGACGGTTGGCGGGGGTGCCCCGGGCGCGGCCCGCCCCTCTCCTCTTCCCCCTCCCCCCTCCTCTTCCCCCTCCCCCCCCGACCGCTTGTGCAGGTGGGACGGTCCCAGGGCGCGCGGGGCGGGGCCGGGCCGCCCCCAGCCCACTGCTGCCTCCGGCGCACCACCGCCCGCGCCAGCATGGAGGCCCCCGCCGCCGCCGCCACCACTGTCGCCGCCACCACTTTCGCCGCCGCCATCGCTCCACGGGACAGCGCCCAGCCGCCCGACGCCCCCGGCTGGCGCGTCTGCCTGCGGGGCCTGCGGGGCGCGCTGCCGCCCGACGTGCGACACGAGGCGGCCGCGCTGGTGGCGCTAGCGGGCCCCGTGGTGAGTGCGCGGCCCCACGCCCCCCAGACGGCGGCCCAGCCCGGGCGCAGCGCAGTGCCTGCTGCCGGCGCTCCTGGAGCCTCCCCCGCGCGGGCTCTGCGTCACGCTCGCGCTCCCCTTCCTTTTCCCTCGGCAGTTCCTGGCGCAGCTGATGATCTTCCTCATTAGCGTCGTCAGCTCCATCTTCTGCGGGCATCTGGGCAGAGTCGAGCTGGACGCCGTCACGCTCGTGGTGTCGGTAGGTGTCCGTCCCTCGCCTCTTTCCTTCGGGGTTGACCCCGTGGTGGAGCCTCGGAATTGGCGTTGTCTGATGGCGGAGGTCTTCCTTGCCCGGTCGGACCTTGACCCTGGGGTTCCTGTCTTCGCCTTGTCTGTTGGTTTGAAAGAAGGTCGTGTCCAGGTGTGTGCGCGTCGTCGTAACCCTCCGGCCAGGGATCGCAGGGAATTGGTGGCAATGATAGAAATCGTGCTGGGGAAACGAACAGAACTGCCTCCCCCCCCCCCCCCCCCTCCCCCCCTCAACTCAAAGAACTTAGAGGTAATGTAGGTTGTCTGCCATTGGTTCGAATTACACAGCTCGTGATGGGCGCAGTATTTCACACTCGTTCTAAAGTGGCTCCCCGTGGGCCGTGGGTTGAAATGGCCCCTCCTTCAAGGTCTTTTGTCCCTGGGTTTTTGTTAGTGATGTAATGGAAAGGGGCCTCGCTCTTGCCTTTCATCCAGGCTTTCAGGGAAAGTGAAAAACCCTTCCAAGGGGTGACGGCAAGGTGGATCTCCCAGTCTTAGAAAATGTCCCCTCTGCCCCCACTGGAGGTGGATCTGTGCCCTGATATGTGGGCGGGACCACCGAAGTTTCTCGGTTGGCTTTATGGCTGGGATGACCTCACTATGTGGAATGAGTCGTTTTATTTACAGGTCTGTCATTGAGTGAACTAATTCAGGTGAAGGGATATTTCTGCTTCCTTTCAAAGTTTACGTGGGGCTTCTAGAAAGAGCCAAGAAAGCAGAGAAGCTTTATAGACTGGCTGTTAACTATGTTCCCTGGAGAGGATGAACTTGATCCCTCCCCCCATAGGTCACTGTGGCCCCTGAGACACTTTGAACTCCTGGTCATTCTGTTGGCTTTGAACAGATATTAATACTGGGTTGTTATTGGGAACTTGAAGGGACACTTTCTCTCTGTTTCTCCATGGGGCCCATAGTGGGGGGGAGGGGTCTACCTTCCAGCTTCCAAACTTTTCTTTCCCAGTGTCTTTTCTTAAAAACTTCTTTTAATTAATTTTTTTTTTTTTACTGAGCTGTAATAATCGACATACAGGTGTATAAGGTAATAATTCGTTATGTGTATGTAGTGCGAAATAATCACCATTATAAATTTAGTTACATCTAAACATCACTAAACACAAGACTTTTTTCCACGTGATGAAATCTTCCAAGATTTAGTAACTTTCAAACGTGCAATACGATATTATTAACTATAGTCACTGTGCTGTACATTGTATTCCCACATTTACATATTTTGTCGCTGGAACGTTATGCCCTTTGACTGCCTTTACCCAGCTCCTCGGCCCCCAGCCCACCACCCAGTCTCTCATAATCCCCAGTCTGCCCTTTGTATCTATGTGTTTAGTTTTCTTTTGTTCAGATTTCACATATAGGTGAGATTCTATAGGATTTGTCTTTGACCGGCTTATTTCACTTGGCATAATGCCCTCACGGTTCATCCATGTCATGACAAAAGGCAAGATTTTCTTCTTTTTTATGGCTGAGTCATACTGTGCGTCGGAGCTCGCACACGTGGGCGTGGACCACATTTTCTTTATTCGTGTATCCATCAGGGGACACTTGGGTCGTTTCCTTATCTTGGCTTAGGAATAAGCAGTGAACATGGAGGGGCGGGGTGGGGCAGATATCTTTTTGAGTTAGTGTTTTTGTTTTCTTTGGTTAAATACCCAGAATTGGGGGGCGCCTGGGTGGCTCAGTGGGTTAAAGCCTCTGCCTTCGGCTCAGGTCATGATCCCAGGATCCTGGGATTGAGCCCCGCATCAGGCTCTCTGCTCGGCGGGGAGCCTGCTTCCCCCCCCTCTGCCTGTCTCTCTGCCTACTTGTGATCTCTGTCTGTCAAATAAGTAAATAAAATCTTTAAAAAAAAAGAAAACAACCCAGAAGTGGGATTGTGGGATCATATGGAAGTTCTGTTTTTAAGTTTTCGAGGATCCTTCCTACTGTTTTCCCAGGTGGCTGCACCAGTTGGCGTCCCCTCCCTTCACAAGGATTTCCCATCTTCTCCAGCACTTGTTATTTTCTGTCCCAGACTCTCACAGGTGTGCCGTGGTAGTTCCTTGTGGTTTTAATTTGCATTTCCTTGAGGATGAGTGATGTTGAGCATCTTTTCGAGCATTCGTTGGTCCTTTGTATGTCTTTGGAGAAATTTGTATTCAGATCCTCTGCCCAGTTTCTAATCAGGTTGTTTGGGGTTCTTTTACTGTTGAGCTGGATGAGTTTTTCATCTCTTTGGAGATGAGCTCTTTACCAGATACACGATTTGCAGATATTTTCTCCCATTCGGTAGGTTGGCTTTGCATTTTGTTGGTGGTTTCCTTTACGGGGTAGAAGCTTTTGAGTGTGGTGTATTCCCACTGGCTTGCTTTGGCTTTTATTAACCAGCTGTTAAGCTATAACTAATTGCTAAGAAGACAGCAGGCCCAGTATCAAAATTATTCATGAGGGGTGCCTGGGTGGGTCAGTCGCTAAGCATCTGCCTTTGGCTCAGGTCTTGATCCCAGGGTCCTGGGATGGAGCCCCACATTGGACTCCCTGCTTGGTGGGAGACCTGCTTCTCCCTCTCCCACTTTCTCTGCTTGTGCTCCTTCTCTTGCTCTCTCTCTGTCAAATAAATAAAATCTTAAAAAAAAAAAAAACTATTCATGAAAGCTGGATACATTTAAAAATGTTCTGCCTTATGAAAAATTGTCAGTGGAATGAGAGGATTTATCAAAGTGTGTTTTTAAAAATTATATATTTTTAAAAGATTTTATTTATTTATTTGAGAGCGAGAGAAAGAGAGAGAGAGAGAGAAAGCACAACTAGGAGGAAGGGCAAGGAAGAAGCAGGCTCCCAACTGAGCAGAGACCCTAATGCGGGGCTCGATCCTGGGGTCGTGACCTGGGCCGAAGGCAGATGCCTAAATGACCAAGCCACCCAGGCACCCCAAAGTGTTTGTTTTTTAAAATAAAAGTACGTTAAGGGGCACCTGGGTGGCTCAGTGGGTTAAGCCTCTGCCTTCGGCTCAGGTCATGATCTCAGGGTCCTGGGATCGAGCCCCACATCGGGCTCTCTGCTCAGTGGAGAGCCTGCTTCCCTTCCTCTCTCTCTGCCTGCCTCTCTGTCTACTTGTGATCTATGTCCGTCAAATAAATAAATTAAATCTTTAAAAAAATAAAATTAAAATAAAAGAACATTAAAATTTTTTTTTTAAATAATCTCTTCCCCTTATGTGGGGCTCAA